ATCATACAAGGAGGGAGAAGGGGAAGGAATACCGCAACATGTTTAAAAATGGTAAAAAAGGAGGGAGGAGGTGAGGAGGGGAGGACAACCAAATAATCAAGGGGTGTAAGGTTTGGGGTGAGATGCGGAGGAAATGTTCAAATTTATTTTAGTGGGTCAACATTTTATAAAACCAAAGTTGTTGACTCTGACAGATGTAGACTTAAGGGTAGGGGTACAGTTGGAATTAAAACAAAATTGGGAGGTGCAGGATGAAGTTAGGGAGGTGTAGGAAGAACCACTCTATACTCTATTGTGTTTGCTTTTTCCGAGAATGCTTTCTGTTAAAGTTGACTACGTAAAAACTATTATTTGGATTGTTCCACATTCTGTCTTAATAAATTAGTGTATTCGAATTTTGTAGCTTTCTAATATGTAAGACAACTCGTTGGTCATGAGATTTATCTTTCATGTATTGGATCATGAGCATGTGTTAGAATAATTGATTACTATATGCAAAAGGAGAAGATTATCATCAAAATTTATCTTTTTTTTATGGCATGAAAGATTACAATAAATTTCGTTGTATTATTTTTGCAAACCTAGAAATAGTCCATTTATCGGTCATGCTTCATTTACAATAATTATTTGGGATTATTATCACACGCATCATCACTATGAAACAAATTCCAACAAAATTTACAACTCAAAGTTCATAATCATATGTCGCGTGCAAAAAAAAAATATCAAAAGAAAAAATACATCAATGATAAGTTACTAGTTGAGAGGATTTTGAGATATTTGAAGTCTGTTCCTGGAAAAAGAATTTTATTCTCAAATCATTAAACTTAAAGGTAGAAGGATACACTGATGCAAATTGGACAAGTTCAAACGATGATAGAAGATCTATCTCTGGATACTTTATTTTTGTAGGAGGGAATCTTGTAACTTGGAGAGTAAAAAACAACCTGTAGTAACAAGATCTAATGCTGAAGTTGAATTCAGGGGCATAACACTAGGTGAATGTGAACTTTTGTGGATTAAAAATGTGCTATCAGATTTGGGCTTTAAACAAAAAGAAAATATGAATTTGTACAGTGACAATACTTAAACTATAGCAATTGCTCACAATCCTGTGCAACATGATAGAACAAAACATGTGGAGATTGATAGACATTTCATCAAAGAGAAACTGAAAGCTGAAATAATTTCATTTTCTTTTGTAAGATTAGAATTGCAGTTGGTTGATGTTCTCACCAAAGGAATCTCACAAATATTGTTTAATGAGTCTCTATTCAAGTTGGGAATGTGTGATATCCATGCACCAACTTAAGTGAGGGTGTTAAGATATGTCAAATATTCTATTAACGGATATTAAGCAATCAAATATTGTGTTAGTTATAATTTATATATTATTATAATTTGTGCATATTTGTGAACATGTCATTCCTTTAATAGATGAAGGATTATAGGATCTTTGTATGTATATATATGGTACTCTACTCTTTGAAATGATAAATAAGAATTATTCTTTAAACTTTTTAATAAAAACATATTATAATAGATATTAAATCACCTATCATAATAGGTGCAAAACCCCTCTTTCAATTCACTTCTTTCAATCTCGTTGTCATTCCCCATTTCATTTCTTCTAGTCTCGCAAAGAAGATCTTTCTCTTCCCTGTTTCATTTCTTCTAATCCCGCACAACATTTTTACAACTTTTATTTCTCGTCCCCTCTTCCAATCCCGGACAACATTTTTACAGCTTATTTCTCGTCCCCTCTTCCAATCCCGCACAACATTTTCTTCTCTCATCCAGAGCACAGAACACACCTACACATATGGAAACCCTACATGTCTCGAAGGCTCGACGCNAAAAACATATTATAATAGATATTAAATCACCTATCATAATAGGTGCAAAACCCCTCTTTCAATTCACTTCTTTCAATCTCGTTGTCATTCCCCATTTCATTTCTTCTAGTCTCGCAAAGAAGATCTTTCTCTTCCCTGTTTCATTTCTTCTAATCCCGCACAACATTTTTACAACTTTTATTTCTCGTCCCCTCTTCCAATCCCGGACAACATTTTTACAGCTTATTTCTCGTCCCCTCTTCCAATCCCGCACAACATTTTCTTCTCTCATCCAGAGCACAGAACACACCTACACATATGGAAACCCTACATGTCTCGAAGGCTCGACGCCGCGCACACTCGTCAGAGCCTCCACGCCGTCTCCTAGTGGCCGTCGAGGAATGCAAGCTTCCAGTCATCGATCTCAACCGCTTAGAGGACAGTGACGAGATTGTGAGGGAAGAGTGCAAGTCGCACATTGCTAGGGCTTTACAGGAGTGGGGTTTCTTCCAGGTGGTCTCTCTCAGGTATGTCTCTTCACTCACTACTCACTTCTATAAGCTTGTTCTGTTTTGAGATTTTTCATAAACAAAGCTAAAATTTTCATTTGGCCATTATTAGACCAACTACATTCAGAGTTATGTAGTCTTTCGGAAATATTGGGAACATTGTGAATAGAGCTAACACTACCTACATTTAACTAATAAGAGAAAAATGAATTTAATTGAGAAAATCATTGGATTATAGAACACAAGAGTGAGTGAAGGGATGCATCATTTGATTAAAAAATTAACTAAATACTTTATCTAACTATTCATTACAAAATTGTTCTAACTTAATTATTTTATTTGTAGATCTTTAATGATTCATCTCCAATGGAAGCTCCAGACATTGAAGACATTAGAATCAAGTGAACTCCTTTTATTTTAAGTGTTAGTAAATTGTAGAAACTTGACTACAATGTAGTGTAGGTTAATGTTATATTTGGATTTAATATATGGTTTGATGTACAAATTATGTATTCAATATTATTAGACAATTTAATGTTTGAAATGAATTTCATTATGTTAGTTTAATTGAATATGTTCATTTCATGTTATATTGATTATAAATTTATTGATGAGATGATAATATAGGAAATTGATTGTAAATTGATTAGATATGTCAAATGTAATAATGAATTTTTTTTAACAAAACAAGTTTTTATGATAGGTGAACAATGTATGTAATAAAAGGTTATTTCTGAAAAGCATATATTATGATAGGTGCACAGTTACTTGTCTTAATATATTCGAAATATTATGATAGGTGAAAAGATTTACGTCATAAAATACTACATATTATGATAGGTTAATTCATCTACATCATAATATATTCCTTATATTATGACTGATAAATGAAAATTTGTCATAATACACTGGATCTATTATGATAGGTGGCAGAAAGTACGTCATAATACGTTGAATGTATTATGACGTAATTTTCTGCTAAGTCATAAAATGCACAAACCTAATATGTCCATAACTATAATGCAAAGGCCATCAGTCATAATATGTCATTTTTACTAGTCATTAATTGTGATTTTTCCACTAATGATTTTATTTATTATTACACTTATATTATTTCTTAAAAAAATTACTACTACTAGAGTTAGCCAACACAAAATATAAACCGAATAAAATTTAAGGTTGTGCGAAATATTCGGTAAATTGACGGATATGTATTAATTTAATTTTAAAATTATCAATTTAAGTTATTTTAAAAGAAAATTACAGATGAAATTAAACTATAACAAGTAAGTATGATTTTATTATTAAATTAAAGTTATGTTTGCAAAACATAACTTCCATATGTTAGTGATAACTTCCATGTGTTAGTGATGAAGTTATGAGTATTAAATACAATTTTAATATATATATCTATTTGAATTAAAATTGTGAATGGATGACATAATTTCTTTAAAAATTTTGTTCTTGGTTTATCTACAACAACAAGCTTTGAGTAGAAATCATTTAAAGTCTTTATAATAACTTTAATAAATAAGAAGACTTTTCCTACATGTTGTGTCATTATTAAAACTGTAGGAACATTTTCCTTCACCTGTATTTGGAAGATATGTACCTAGACCTTGTCTTCACAATAATATCAATAATTCTCAATACTCACTATTACAAATATAAGAACATCCATAGTCAAATATTAGTTACAAAAAATATATTCAAAAAGACTTTAACCAGTACTCTAGACATTTGCACTAGTTATTATAAAAAAAATTAATATTTAATAGTTGATTTTTCATTCATATCCAAACATTAACTTGACTCAACCATAATAATATATTTAATTTTTCAACACTGTCTAATTTTCATAAGTATCCATAACTTGCTTTCGGTTTCCACAATAATCATTTCGACATGAGCTCCCTACTACCATCATATAATTAAAAAAATGTTTGATAGACACTAAAAAATAAATTATATTGCATGAGTGGAAACCACCAACATTTACTTTATTTTCTTCCTTTTTTTCTATTTTCAATTTCAATTCTCTCTCTGATCTTTACCAATCACTTTTTCGTTTGACATGAATAATCACCACTCCAAAGTATAGATTTATAATTTTCAAAACTTAATAAAATAAAATATGATGATTAAAATTACCATTGTTTTTAAATCGATTTTGTATTTTTACGGTTTCAATATATAAAGCATTTACTATTTTAGTTTCAATACCACGAAAAAGGGATCATAATAATTTATTTTTTGAACTTAAACAACTAAAATAAAAATTTTAACAAAAAAAAGAGACCAGCGCTAAATTGATTAAAATTTAAGGATTTTAGTATAAACTTTTTAAAAGCTTAAAAGGATAATAAATGCGTAATAATCTTAATTTTGAAACCTGTTAATTCATATATAAAATAAAGTAAACATTTTTCCTTCACAGAAATTAACATTGATTTTAAATGATAATATTCGTAGAAATGTTTTCTGTAAAAAAATATGGTCAAAATTTTAACATATAGATTTTAGATGGATAATAGAAAAAAAAATAGAATTTTTAATCTCATTGCTTATAATTTAAGTATGTGTTACTACTAGTTTTTTTTGTCATAATTAATAAAAAAGAAAAGTGAAATAAGAACATGGTGAATGTCTCGTCTCCAAGATATTTTGGGGCAACAACCATAATAGATACACAGAAAAGTGACGGACCCAGACGCAGTTAGCTGCTATTCAGTCAAAGGGTGGGAGCAAGATGGGTTCTTTGGCAAAGAAGGGTCTCAACAGTTACGTCAAACAGCTCCAAGAAAACCCTTTGAGAACAAAGGTACCTCTTCTGCGCTCACTTTCAATTTTTGTAATTTTTTATTTTCAATCCATTTTCGTTGACTTATTCATTGGGGGTCAAATTAGGTAATCACTGCAGGTGTAGTATCAGCGATTAGCGATATTGTGTCTCAGAAACTTTCTGGGATACAGAAACTTCAACTTAAACGTCTTCTTCTCAAAGTCGTGAGTTCCTTTTTCTTTTTCATTTAGTTTAATCTTGTTCTACCAAATCCTAAGTGGTATCGTAACCTGATTCTGATATGAGTAAATTGCAGTCCACTTGAGTGATGACGCTTAAATTTCCCTCCCTTGAAAGATTAATATGTGCTATATTTTTGGGGTTAATTTTCTCTTTTTTTATGGCTGTTGTATTATTGGCAATTGGGTTTGAATATCTACCAAATTTCAGTGTTGACTTGACAAGTGTTCAGAATATCGTTGCATCTGTTAAGTATGCTAATTGAATGCTATCGGTGGTTCAAATTAGTTGTAACTTATAAGTGATCTTAAAGTTCAAAAGAAAAAAACACAGTCTTACCAGGTTTTTGCGGTGTTAACAGACTCATATACATTGAAATAAAGACTTAATTGCATATTCTTGCCGCCAACTATTGCAATTTTGTGGTTTTAATCCTTAAACAAACGGCTGTCATTATCACATGAACTGTTTCCAATTAGCAGAGGCTTTAAAATCACAGAAATTTAGATATACAGTAGATCTAATTGACACATTTGGAACTCAAAGATTAAAATTGCACATTGGGGATACCGAAAGGGCTCGGTGGACACAATTGAAGTATCGAGAACTAAAATCGCACAATTTTCGTATCAGAGGAAACAAAAATATTAAAAAGTCTAAAACAAACTAAAGTGTGTGCACATTGATATCTGTGGAAAGGGGAGTATAATTTTTAAATAAAAGGAGAAGAATATATGATTTAAGTGCCGGAATATTTCGGATTTACTTTTTGGGGGTTGGTGTGATAGAAAATCTGTAACAAAAGCTGTTTTTAAAAATGTTGGAATGAGGGTTTTTTTTTTTTTTTTTGGATAGCATCATTGTATGAATATGACAACTAGCTTGACAATTCATACCTCAACAATCAAATGCTTCCTAAGGATATTTATTGAAAGAAAAACAAAACTGTAAAAGAAAATATAAGGGACCAAACCAAAATCCTATGCAATCAAGAAAATCTATATTCAGGTAAGCCAAACCTATTCCTAAAAAAGTTTTATGTAATACTAGAAGGCAAACTATTAAACCAATGAAAATCCTATTTCATATCCACCTCAAGTTAGCTAAACTATCCACATTTATTTTCTTCTCTAAATATGTGGAAAACTTTAAAATTCAAGCATTTACTTATGGCAATGTTTCGAATCCATCTACCATAATAACAACAAGGAACAATATTTACTTATGAAATGAGTCTTTTAGTTATTAACATGTTGCTGCTCATCTTGATGAACTATGCCATGCCCAAATAGATAGACGAAGTAGCAGCAAGTGGGCTTCTTGCTTAAACCTGTATGTCTTAATTTAGTTACTACTACTACTACAGTTATGAGTGACTTTCGCCTTTTCTAGTTATATACTTATATTTAAGCATTGGGAATTATATATCGTTTATTGCATGCAGCTTTTTGGAGCCGGTTATATTGGACCCTTTGGACACTTTTTTCATTTAATACTGGACAAAATATTCAAAGGAAAGAGAGATACAAAAACTGTGGCCAAGAAGGTAAAACCGCAAATCCTTCTGTTCTAAGTTTTAACTATATCTATCAGGACCTGAATTCAGGCATTGCAGTTGGTACCATGTCCTCAGTCTGCTTTTCTTACAGTTTTTGCTGCATTAAATATCTGCTGACTTAAAATGCTATAATGAATTGAATCTTAAAAGAAATTTCTGAACATATTTATTCCAGAATTTATTTGTAATTAAATGGATGGGTTTTTTATACCACCTTTCTTTACACAAATGATAGAAAAGTTTAAGTTATCCTTTTCTGTAATTAATTCTTCTTTCATCGATCTTTTTGTTTTCAGGTTCTGATTGAACAGTGTACATCTTCTCCTTTGAACAATCTGCTTTTCATGATTTACTACGGATTAGTTGTTGAAGGTTAGTCATTTTTCAACATATAACTTCTTTATTCACATTGAAGAAACATGGAGTACTCCAAGTAAGATACAGTTGGAAAGCAGGCAAAAAGAATATTTCTCATCAATGTGAAAAACAAGATTTCCAACTCTGACATCCCCTGCTACTGTTTGTTTACTTATTAAAAAAAATGAGGCTGTCCTAAAAGTGATGTACGAAATGAATGGTATACTTGGTTGGTGAATTGTGTGCTTATGTTTATGATGGAAAATTGGATTTCAGGCCAACCTTGGGTGAATGTGAAAGCTAAAGTTAGGAAGGATTATCCATCAGTGCAGTACACTGCTTGGACGGTAATATTTCTATTTCAAGTGTAGAAAATGACAATTTAATGAAAGATCAATTTTTTTGTTTTTAATTTTAACATTATAACTCCCTTGACTTGAACCACAGATCTCGCCAATTGTGGGGTGGATAAATCATAAATTCTTGCCTCTTCATTTCCGTGTTGTTTTCCACAGCGTAGCAGCATTTTTCTGGTACGTGTATTTTGTTTTCCTTTCCTCTGATTTCCTTGACTTGTTAATGATTGTTCCCATTTCCCTTTGCTATAACAGCATGTAAATTGAGATAATTGATTGTGTGCATTTTATTTTAGGTCAATATTCTTAAATCTTCGTGCACGATCTTTGGCGTTGACTAAAGCCTGAAGCAAAGAACAGTACTGATCATAGTCTTTGAAGTAGATGCTACTGTTTGTTGGGAGACTGTTAATCTTTCCAGAGCGGAATATAGAAGTTTAGAATATAGATGCTTTTGGACAAGGGTTGATTGATTTGGTTTTCAACTGAACTGATCGTGGTTAAGATGATTTTAAAGTTGTGTGATTTATGTTTGAATGTTTTCATTATGAAAACAAGTTAGTAATAAAAATTGGTATAAATTTGTTATTCAATGTAAAACTTGTTTATAAAGTTGCTTGAATTTAGAATGATTATAGATTCAGAATTAGTTCTTTATCATAGATTCATATCGGAGAAATTAACTTCAAAACACTTTAACTAGTGTTTTAATTGAATTGAACACACACTTTACGCTCATCTGTAAATGTCAAAAGAATTTTGGAGACAAAACAGTAACTACGCAGCTAATTGTTCTAGGCAACTATCTAATGATGAATATATTTTTAGGAAAAATCTTTTTTAGAGGAAATTAATTTTATGGAGTGTCATTAGCATCATTTAATCTAGTTTGTTGTTATCCAACTTGTTAAGTCGTAAAATTAGCTATGAAAAGGAAAGAAATTCATTATCCAGTTGTGAAATGAAGTTTGATAATAATGTTTGAATAAAAGATAAACATAACAGCACAAATGCATAATTGATGAACATATCTAGTATTATAAATAGAGCATTGTATCATTTGGGATTTTATGGACTTCTATGAGAAACAGCATCGATGAAGGGATTGAAGCATCACACAAGAATAAAAAATCCCAATGTTCTTATATTGTCTTTTGTCAAAATCTATGTTTTGTTAAATCCTCAGAGGAAGATGAGTAGCACTTGTTCTATTTCAAGTCACGTGGAAGTTGAGACAACTAACTCTTCGTGTTAGGTTAGGCTTCTAATTTATTGAGACAACTCCACCTGCTTTTCATGGATGTTAGGAAGTACATATACCCAAAATAAGGGGTCATTGACTTGTTGGCTTATAAATTTGACAAGTATATACTGATATAAATCATATTTTTGCACTGACAATTTCAACAAAACAATTTAGAAAGACGTGACACGGTATGAATACTAATATACATACACTTGTCCTATAATTTTTTCTACACAAAACTGTTTCTACAGGAAACTTTAAAAAATAGAAAGAGTATATACATACACTTGTCCTATAATTTTTTCTACAAGAAACTTTAGAAAATAGACAGAGTATGACATGATATGATTATTTTTTTTTAAGTTGTGATTAAATACAATATCCATCCTTTCATTTCCATTGACATCAAAATTTAATTGATGCGAAATAGTTCCAATTCATTAAACATTTTCAACATGTGAATTTCAGTATAACCAAAATTTGATAATCACACTATACATTTTTTATGTCTTTATTATTAAAATTTGAATTTTAGACTAGTATAGTAAATATTTTTATATGTTGGGAAATATATGAAATTATAACAAGTATAGCTGGTAAAATACTTCCTGAAAAACTGAGGTATAGTATTCAACTTGAAAAAGGTGAAGGATATGTGAAAACAAGAGAAATATTTGCCTTATTTTACTTAAGTTAATCAAAAGTTATAATCACAATGCGCAGGGATTTTGAGGAACTGGTCAGAAAATGAAACCTCTGACCCTATTGAGTTATACCTGACAAATATGTACAGACATTAATTTCAAAGTGATAGTATCTTGTAAACAACCGCGGCACTCTACAGTCATCAATTATGGAAAATCAAATTTACTCAACCCACGTGAAAGAATATAATAAATGTGAAAAAAAAGAAATGGACTGAGTTATACGTTCTTAAACTCTGTCAAAATGTTTTGATTAAGTAAATGCATGGGAATGCACTAAAATATTAACCTTAACCATGTGTTTTAGTTTATTCTGGAGGCTTATGTATGTTTTATTATAGCAGATATTATTATCATATTGTGGTTGTTGGTTGTCAAAAAAGAAAGTTAAAACATTCAACTAGATTTCGCAGGGTCATTAGCTAAACTCTTCTTCAGGGCACAATTTATTTTTTTTAACAATTTCTTTTCTGTTGGTATTACAGGTTTACTCGTTATTTCTGTTGAAAGTCAGCATAGGAGGGAGAAAAGCAGAAATAGCCAACATGAAAGGACAAGTAGTTTTCAATGCTCAGAACATGTTCAACCATGTTGTGAAACTTCTCAATTACATTCCACCTGCTTATACATATATGCATGTGCTGTAAGAGAAATTGACACAATTCAATCCCAAACGTGTCTTCAATCATATACTATTACTGGTTAAGGCCTTCATAAACAAAAAATACGGAATATTGATAAAGTGGTGGTAATAGCACATGGGAACCAATATGCTTTCAAGCAAATGTTCTTCTTTCTCATATTTCAGTGCAAGAAGGATAGCTGTATCAATCGATGTTCCGAAGATCAAGGTAAAAAAGATCTCCACTGCAAGGCTTCCTAACAGAAGTTTGGTGGCAGAATTGGATTATCTACATAAATACATTCCAACCACCACCACAACTCATACAAAAGAAGATCCTTACTACTCCAAAATCAACACTAACGATTCTACAACATCTGGAACAAGCACACCAAATTCCATGGAGGAGGTCAAGCTTCATTTGATTATGGACGTAGTAGCAGATAGAATAGAGATGCACAAGAATATTGGAGCACAGCGTGACAACTGGAACAGCCTTCTAGTGACATCTGTTAATATGATCACTCTTTCTGCTTCGGCTATGGTTGGGCTTGCAGCTGCTAGTCCAAGTGGAGCACATATTGTGGCCTTGAAGGTGTCCTCCACAATTCTTTATATGGCAGCCACAGGGTTGATTTTGGTGATGAACAAAATTCAGCCATCACAGCTTGCAGAGGAGCAGAGAAATGCTGCTAGGTTGTTCAAGCAGCTTCATGGAGAACTCAGAACAAGGCTTTCTCTAGGGAATCCTAGTGAGAATGATGTTGAAGAAGCAATGGAGAAAGTGCTTGCATTGGACGGGGCCTACCCTCTTCCTCTATTGGGCTCAATGCTCGAAAAACTCCCTCGAACTGTGGAGCCAGCAGTGTGGTGGCCTAGACAGAAGCAAAAGAGTCGAAGAAAAGAAGAGTTGGGAGGGAAACTGAAAGGGAAAAATGGATGGGATGCAAGGTCAGAGGCTGAAATGAGAAAGATTGGGATGATTTTGAGAAAGAAGGACATGGCAGAGTACTTGAGGTTGGGTAAACAAGTTTTGAACTTCAACAAGGTATTAGCAGTTTCTGGTCCTCTACTATCTGGCCTTGCAGCATTGGGTTCGTGCTTTTTGGGTTCTGTGAGTTCATCTTGGCCAGTGATGGTTGGGGTTATTGGAGGAGCTTTGGCAAGTGTTGTCAACACATTAGAGCATGGGGGGCAAGTGGGGATGGTGTTTGAGATGTATAGGGCAAATTCTGGTTTTTTTAAGCTCATGGAAGAGAGCATCGAACTGAATATTGCTGAAGAAGATCCTCATAAAAGGGAAAATGGGGAATTGTTTGAAATCAAAGTAGCTTTACAGCTAGGTAGGAGTCTCTCAGAACTCAAGCAATTTGCTGCTGCAGTTTCATCATCTCATGAGGAGAGGGATTTTGAAGAGTTTGCAAGCAAGCTTTTCTAGTATTATTACCAATTTTCTTGTTAGTTGTAATTGTCAAGCTTCCTTTTGTAAATATTCTCGTAGCTAGAGAATGCTTGTGAACAGTTTGTAGCAAGAACTGTTTTATTACTATGTTCGCTAACTATATTAAGCTTATTTTTTTTAAACAAAATTTCTACAGTTTAACGTTGCTCCTATTATTCATTAGCCAGTTGTTAGCTTAGATCCACAGCAAATTAGTTTTTGATTTAATCAATTGCATTGCCTCAGAGCGCTGGAAACAAGTGCACGTGAACCAGTAGTGTATATTTGGCATCGCGACAAAGATGAATGTGACTTAACAAGTATGCTTCCCATTTCGACAGCGTGGAATTTCAGACGTGTTGATAATGCTATACTGGAACATACAAGTTGAATACTAAATATTAAATCAGAATGGTTACATCTGTTTATGTCGAATGGTTCTTCTTCTGGAAAGCTCTTGAAGCTGTCTGCAATGATCTTCTATAAAGAACAAAGCATAATGGTAAAGATAAAAAATTTGAAAATATTAAAATAAAAACCTGGTTTGATTCTTATTTTAACATGTAAATGAGTGAAATACGACCTGTGTAGTTATCTACTGGAATCAGGGATGACAGTCACAGATAAACTTCTAATCGCAGGTATTATCTTGATTTATCTTTATAAATGACACAGAATTAGAGATTTGCTGACAAAGTATAATCGCAGGTATTATAACCCGAAGCAACGGTCAGCAACAACACTAAGAACCCTAATTAGAGATTTGCTGACAAAGTATAATTTGAAGAAAGAGTCAGTGTAAGATGACCGGAGTTCAACCTTTCAGCCTTTGAAGTGTGTAGCTTATCCTTGTTTTCCCAAATTTGATGCCATTACCTTTGGCAGCGTTGCAAGTTTGGTCTATGCTAAGTTCACCACAACAGTAATCATCTACTTCAAATTTATCCGTAGGTTTGAAGCAGCAGTAAGAAGTCTTATATTATATATTAAGATAGAGAAAATATAACTAAAAAGATTCAGACATTTATTTTCTTAATATTTTGAGTGGATAAAGGTACTATTATGATATTTTATATAAATTTATTTACTATTAATTGGTGTTGAATCTTTTAGGAAAATTTAACAATTCAAGATCCTATATTCATAAATATAATTCTCTTTTTACCATATATATATATATATATATAAATATAGGAATAAGAGAAACATTCTTTTAAATTTCTATTATCATGATTTAATCCACAAGAAACCATCACAAAATCCTAAATTAAGAACGTGAAAACTTAATCACTATCTTTCTCTTCTCGATAACAATAACCAAGCTACAATAGTGCCACCACCGTGAAACGTCTTGCTCGTCTTCCCCTTCATCACGAATCGCGAATCACGATCCTAATCTTCTTCTTCTTCAACCTCAATCATGCAACCTGCACAGAAAATTCTAACATTCTAAATTAGAAAACTCCTAATATGCAAAACCCCAAATCACACCATTACTCCACCATGTTCGTCTTCTACACTTCTACTCTTCAGCTTAAATTTAACTTTAACTTTTAACATTGTTACGTCAATTAGACTGATGTTACCACTGATTACAAAACTGTATAAATCACTTAACATTAACTAAAGTGAACATTACGCCGTTAGCACGCCGTTGTCATTAAAAAAAGATCAAATTGAATTATTTTTATAATAGATGAAATCATTTGAACAACTAAAAAATAAAAGATCACTTTGAACAAAACTAATAAATAAAAAAACAAAAAAAATGTATTAAACATTAAAAACCCTCATCGATGATTCCCATGTTCCAAATATACAAAACATTATTAGTTAATAGTACCTCAACTAAGGTGTCTGTTTCTCCTTCCAAATTATGGTAACTGTCCTAACTGAACTGAATTCTTGTCAAATTATGGTCATGCTACTTTTCTACATTTCTTTAGAAAATGAGAAAAATTATGCATTAATTCTCTAACTGCATAAGCAAAGTAAAAACATTTTAGTTCTTTAGATATTACATGCTTGGAATCCAGTTCTCATTCATTTTTGTGTACGCTACTCTTCATCCAACATAACATCAATTAAAAGCAAAGGGAAACAAATGTAAATAATAAGTTCGAAGACTAAGTACGATAAAGGTAATAGAAAATCATTTGATTTGTAATGCAAACTATTAGGGGCACAGCAAAAAATAATTAAATTTATTGAATTTTTGTGAAAAAAACTCAATCTGTGCACGATTGATCTAAACATGTAAATACAAGATAATACCATGGAAGCGATGCAAAATCAGAAGAGTTAAAAACCTTAAAAAAGGGAAACTACGAGGACTTAGTGACAAAACAAAATGTTTTTTGAAGGTAGGAACCCAAAATTTTGTCCATGTCTTCGAATTCAATTGTCGTTCTTCTTTTGAAAGGGTCTCGCTTCTCTTCTCTCTGTCTGTCACTTTTTTCTTTTTTAATTTGTGTGATTCTCCAATCTGCTGTGATTGAATATTGATGACAGTGACGCACAACCTCTCACGGGGCCCATAAATTTGTTATTTTTCTCTGATCCCCTTTGAATTGTGAGGGTGAAGTGAAAGATCTGAATTACGAAGATGATTCAGCTTCTGTTCACGTTGATATTTTCGGAGGGTGCGATGATAGCTTTGCTGCTGTTCAAGACCCCGTTGAGGAAGCTTGTGATAATGGGGTTGGATCGGTTGAAGCGGGGTCGTGGACCCTTGGTTGTGAAGACCGTTGCAGGGACCATTCTCGTGGTGCTCTTGTCGAGTGTGTACAGCATGGTCAACATTCAGAAGCATGAGATCGAGGATGGTGGTGCCATTAATCCCACCGATCAGGTTCTCATGGCCAAGCACCTCCTTGAAACAACACTCATGGGTATTTGTCTTCCCTTTTTCTTATTTTGCTATCATTTGATTTGTTCTCTCAATTTCTGATCTGACTCCTTTGTGTGTAATTACTTGCATGGATAATTAAATCAATTTATTCCCTGCGTTAGCTTTCTTATATGTTTTGTTGGGTCCTTATTGGAATGTCTAGGTTTCTATTTATATGCTACTGGTTGATTTCTTTTCTTCCCTAGTTTTATGTTGGAGCAACTTGAGTAATGTGACTTTGAGAAAAGGATGACTTCTTTTGTGGGTATTTTAACTAGGAATCATATGTGTATGGTTTTCTATGTTGGCGATTGTTTTTCTATCACAACTAGAAAGCATTTATGAATGTGAGCTTGTATGGTCTTATTGTCTGGGAAATGTTAACAAACGAATCTTTGTTTTGTTGACTCCTTTTCTGAGGCATTGGAGTCAAATCCATGGAGAAATTACTTTTCTTCCTTCATTTTCTTTTGTCCACAAGGAACAAATTGTTTTCACTTGCACTGTGCTAAGTTGGATCAACATTTTTCAAGCCATCTCAGTCAATGAACCGGAATCATCGGATGTAGATCAAATGACTCAATCTATCTAGGTAAATCAGACTAAAGATACTGATTCTAGATATAAGCCGTCTCATTTTATCCGACAGTTCAATTCACTGACTGCATGAACGCGTGAAAAGGGGATCCAATTTGACCGCATGGATGTAAATGAAGCTCAGCCATCCNTAAATGCATGGGAATGCACTAAAATATTAACCTTAACCATGTGTTTTAGTTTATTCTGGAGGCTTATGTATGTTTTATTATAGCAGATATTATTATCATATTGTGGTTGTTGGTTGTCAAAAAAGAAAGTTAAAACATTCAACTAGATTTCGCAGGGTCATTAGCTAAACTCTTCTTCAGGGCACAATTTATTTTTTTTAACAATTTCTTTTCTGTTGGTATTACAGGTTTACTCGTATTTCTGTTGAAAGTCAGCATAGGAGGGAGAAAAGCAGAAATAGCCAACATGAAAGGACAAGTAGTTTTCAATGCTCAGAACATGTTCAACCATGTTGTGAAACTTCTCAATTACATTCCACCTGCTTATACATATATGCATGTGCTGTAAGAGAAATTGTCACAATTCAATCCCAAACGTGTCTTCAATCATATACTATTACTGGTTAAGGCCTTCATAAACAAAAAATACGGAATATTGATAAAGTGGTGGTAATAGCACATGGGAACCAATATGCTTTCAAGCAAATGTTCTTCTTTCTCATATTTCAGTGCAAGAAGGATAGCTGTATCAATCGATGTTCCGAAGATCAAGGTAAAAAAGATCTCCACTGCAAGGCTTCCTAACAGAAGTTTGGTGGCAGAATTGGATTATCTACATAAATACATTCCAACCACCACCACAACTCATACAAAAGAAGATCCTTACTACTCCAAAATCAACACTAACGATTCTACAACATCTGGAACAAGCACACCAAATTCCATGGAGGAGGTCAAGCTTCATTTGATTATGGACGTAGTAGCAGATAGAATAGAGATGCACAAGAATATTGGAGCACAGCGTGACAACTGGAACAGCCTTCTAGTGACATCTGTTAATATGATCACTCTTTCTGCTTCGGCTATGGTTGGGCTTGCAGCTGCTAGTCCAAGTGGAGCACATATTGTGGCCTTGAAGGTGTCCTCCACAATTCTTTATATGGCAGCCACAGGGTTGATTTTGGTGATGAACAAAATTCAGCCATCACAGCTTGCAGAGGAGCAGAGAAATGCTGCTAGGTTGTTCAAGCAGCTTCATGGAGAACTCAGAACAAGGCTTTCTCTAGGGAATCCTAGTGAGAATGATGTTGAAGAAGCAATGGAGAAAGTGCTTGCATTGGACGGGGCCTACCCTCTTCCTCTATTGGGCTCAATGCTCGAAAAACTCCCTCGAACTGTGGAGCCAGCAGTGTGGTGGCCTAGACAGAAGCAAAAGAGTCGAAGAAAAGAAGAGTTGGGAGGGAAACTGAAAGGGAAAAATGGATGGGATGCAAGGTCAGAGGCTGAAATGAGAAAGATTGGGATGATTTTGAGAAAGAAGGACATGGCAGAGTACTTGAGGTTGGGTAAACAAGTTTTGAACTTCAACAAGGTATTAGCAGTTTCTGGTCCTCTACTATCTGGCCTTGCAGCATTGGGTTCGTGCTTTTTGGGTTCTGTGAGTTCATCTTGGCCAGTGATGGTTGGGGTTATTGGAGGAGCTTTGGCAAGTGTTGTCAACACATTAGAGCATGGGGGGCAAGTGGGGATGGTGTTTGAGATGTATAGGGCAAATTCTGGTTTTTTTAAGCTCATGGAAGAGAGCATCGAACTGAATATTGCTGAAGAAGATCCTCATAAAAGGGAAAATGGGGAATTGTTTGAAATCAAAGTAGCTTTACAGCTAGGTAGGAGTCTCTCAGAACTCAAGCAATTTGCTGCTGCAGTTTCATCATCTCATGAGGAGAGGGATTTTGAAGAGTTTGCAAGCAAGCTTTTCTAGTATTATTACCAATTTTCTTGTTAGTTGTAATTGTCAAGCTTCCTTTTGTAAATATTCTCGTAGCTAGAGAATGCTTGTGAACAGTTTGTAGCAAGAACTGTTTTATTACTATGTTCGCTAACTATATTAAGCTTCTTTTTTTTAAACAAAATTTCTACAGTTTAACGTTGCTCCTATTATTCATTAGCCAGTTGTTAGCTTAGATCCACAGCAAATTAGTTTTTGATTTAATCAATTGCATTGCCTCAGAGCGCTGGAAACAAGTGCACGTGAACCAGTAGTGTATATTTGGCATCGCGACAAAGATGAATGTGACTTAACAAGTATGCTTCCCATTTCGACAGCGTGGAATTTCAGACGTGTTGATAATGCTATACTGGAACATACAAGTTGAATACTAAATATTAAATCAGAATGGTTACATCTGTTTATGTCGAATGGTTCTTCTTCTGGAAAGCTCTTGAAGCTGTCTGCAATGATCTTCTATAAAGAACAAAGCATAATGGTAAAGATAAAAAATTTGAAAATATTAAAATAAAAACCTGGTTTGATTCTTATTTTAACATGTAAATGAGTGAAATACGACCTGTGTAGTTATCTTCTGGAATCAGGGATGACAGTCACAGATAAACTTCTAATCGCAGGTATTATCTTGATTTATCTTTATAAATGACACAGAATTAGAGATTTGCTGACAAAGTATAATCGCAGGTATTATAACCCGAAGCAACGGTCAGCAACAACACTAAGAACCCTAATTAGAGATTTGCTGACAAAGTATAATTTGAAGAAAGAGTCAGTGTAAGATGACCGGAGTTCAACCTTTCAGCCTTTGAAGTGTGTAGCTTATCCTTGTTTTCCCAAATTTGATGCCATTACCTTTGGCAGCGTTGCAAGTTTGGTCTATGCTAAGTTCACCACAACAGTAATCATCTACTTCAAATTTATCCGTAGGTTTGAAGCAGCAGTAAGAAGTCTTATATTATATATTAAGATAGAGAAAATATAACTAAAAAGATTCAGACATTTATTTTCTTAATATTTTGAGTGGATAAAGGTACTATTATGATATTTTATATAAATTTATTTACTATTAATTGGTGTTGAATCTTTTAGGAAAATTTAACAATTCAAGATCCTATATTCATAAATATAATTCTCTTTTTACCATATATATATATATATATATAAATATAGGAATAAGAGAAACATTCTTTTAAATTTCTATTATCATGATTTAATCCACAAGAAACCATCACAAAATCCTAAATTAAGAACGTGAAAACTTAATCACTATCTTTCTCTTCTCGATAACAATAACCAAGCTACAATAGTGCCACCACCGTGAAACGTCTTGCTCGTCTTCCCCTTCATCACGAATCGCGAATCACGATCCTAATCTTCTTCTTCTTCAACCTCAATCATGCAACCTGCACAGAAAATTCTAACATTCTAAATTAGAAAACTCCTAATATGCAAAACCCCAAATCACACCATTACTCCACCATGTTCGTCTTCTACACTTCTACTCTTCAGCTTAAATTTAACTTTAACTTTTAACATTGTTACGTCAATTAGACTGATGTTACCACTGATTACAAAACTGTATAAATCACTTAACATTAACTAAAGTGAACATTACGCCGTTAGCACGCCGTTGTCATTAAAAAAAGATCAAATTGAATTATTTTTATAATAGATGAAATCATTTGAACAACTAAAAAATAAAAGATCACTTTGAACAAAACTAATAAATAAAAAAACAAAAAAAATGTATTAAACATTAAAAACCCTCATCGATGATTCCCATGTTCCAAATATACAAAACATTATTAGTTAATAGTACCTCAACTAAGGTGTCTGTTTCTCCTTCCAAATTATGGTAACTGTCCTAACTGAACTGAATTCTTGTCAAATTATGGTCATGCTACTTTTCTACATTTCTTTAGAAAATGAGAAAAATTATGCATTAATTCTCTAACTGCATAAGCAAAGTAAAAACATTTTAGTTCTTTAGATATTACATGCTTGGAATCCAGTTCTCATTCATTTTTGTGTACGCTACTCTTCATCCAACATAACATCAATTAAAAGCAAAGGGAAACAAATGTAAATAATAAGTTCGAAGACTAAGTACGATAAAGGTAATAGAAAATCATTTGATTTGTAATGCAAACTATTAGGGGCACAGCAAAAAATAATTAAATTTATTGAATTTTTGTGAAAAAAACTCAATCTGTGCACGATTGATCTAAACATGTAAATACAAGATAATACCATGGAAGCGATGCAAAATCAGAAGAGTTAAAAACCTTAAAAAAGGGAAACTACGAGGACTTAGTGACAAAACAAAATGTTTTTTGAAGGTAGGAACCCAAAATTTTGTCCATGTCTTCGAATTCAATTGTCGTTCTTCTTTTGAAAGGGTCTCGCTTCTCTTCTCTCTGTCTGTCACTTTTTTCTTTTTTAATTTGTGTGATTCTCCAATCTGCTGTGATTGAATATTGATGACAGTGACGCACAACCTCTCACGGGGCCCATAAATTTGTTATTTTTCTCTGATCCCCTTTGAATTGTGAGGGTGAAGTGAAAGATCTGAATTACGAAGATGATTCAGCTTCTGTTCACGTTGATATTTTCGGAGGGTGCGATGATAGCTTTGCTGCTGTTCAAGACCCCGTTGAGGAAGCTTGTGATAATGGGATTGGATCGGTTGAAGCGGGGTCGTGGACCCTTGGTTGTGAAGACCGTTGCAGGGACCATTCTCGTGGTGCTCTTGTCGAGTGTGTACAGCATGGTCAACATTCAGAAGCATGAGATCGAGGATGGTGGTGCCATTAATCCCACCGATCAGGTTCTCATGGCCAAGCACCTCCTTGAAACAACACTCATGGGTATTTGTCTTCCCTTTTTCTTATTTTGCTATCATTTGATTTGTTCTCTCAATTTCTGATCTGACTCCTTTGTGTGTAATTACTTGCATGGATAATTAAATCAATTTATTCCCTGCGTTAGATTTCTTATATGTTTTGTTGGGTCCTTATTGGAATGTCTAGGTTTCTATTTATATGCTACTGGTTGATTTCTTTTCTTCCCTAGTTTTATGTTGGAGCAACTTGAGTAATGTGACTTTGAGAAAAGGATGACTTCTTTTGTGGGTATTTTAACTAGGAATCATATGTGTATGGTTTTCTATGTTGGAGATTGTTTTTCTATCACAACTAGAAAGCATTTATGAATGTGAGCTTGTATGGTCTTATTGTCTGGGAAATGTTAACAAACGAATCTTTGTTTTGTTGACTCCTTTTCTGAGGCATTGGAGTCAAATCCATGGAGAAATTACTTTTCTTCCTTCATTTTCTTTTGTCCACAAGGAACAAATTGTTTTCACTTGCACTGTGCTAAGTTGGATCAACATTTTTCAAGCCATCTCAGTCAATGAACCGGAATCATCGGATGTAGATCAAATGACTCAATCTATCTAGGTAAATCAGACTAAAGATACTGATTCTAGATATAAGCCGTCTCATTTTATCCGACAGTTCAATTCACTGACTGCATGAACGCGTGAAAAGGGGATCCAATTTGACCGCATGGATGTAAATGAAGCTCAGCCATCCAACTGGTTTTACAGTGCTCAATCCTAGTGGTTTCTTCTATGGTGTTTTTCTGGCTTCCTGTAATCCTCTTTTGTAGCCAAAAATTCTTACAATGTGCTCTTTCTTTATACAATATTTTCAGAAACGAGTTACTCCTGTTCAAGAAGCCCCCGGAAGTATCTTATATGAATTATATCACGGTTAACATAATTTTCTTTGCTGTCTTCCAAAGAAGTTTTATGCCATTGATTTATCATAACCCTGGTCACAGCTTAAAAGCATCATGACTAGAGTGAAAATGCAGCTTCAATCCAACCAGATAATACAGTTCTGATTTTCTGGACCTATTTTCTCTGTAATGTTTCTGAAATATTATACCTGCTCTTTGGTGCTGGTCGTCATTCATCTTTGGTCAATTATTTGCAGGCGGTATACTTTTTCTTGGGCTTATGATAGACAGACTACATCATTACATAAGAGAACTGCGGATTCGAAGAAAGGGCATGGAAGCTGTCAAGAAACAAAGCAGAGGGTCTGAAGATGGGAAATTTACCTTTTCAGAAGAAATGAAAAGCGTGGAGGAAGAAAGAACTAGATTGAGAGCAGAACTTAGGCGCCTAGAATCTGAACTACAGTCAAAAATTAAAGACGCAGATGTTGCAGAAGCCAATGTATCTGCTCTGAGAAAACAATCTGAGGGGTTCCTTCTTGAGTATGATCGCTTACTTGAGGAAAACCAGAACCTCCGCAACAAACTACAGTCCTTGGACAGGAAATTGTCACATTCAGGTTCTAAGAAGAATATTTAAGTAACATTGCTAGTAGGAATGGCTTCTTCTTGTATACTCTTCCGGAGTTCCATGGCAGTTTGTTCACAACAGCTTGTCAATCCTTGCATGCTTGTTCCTCAAGGAATACGATTTTCACTTCTAATTGAACTTGGATCAATTTTGTCCTGACAAATTGTGAATTTTTTGAGTGATGACAAGAAATATAGTGCTGATTTGTTTTTTCTGCACATATGTAACTTTTGTAACATCTGTTTTCACTATTCAATAGTGTTTGATGGTATTAAAGTTATCTCTTAGTACTTAATTTTGATTGTCATGTATCCTATCTTGGTCCAGAGAGAAATCTCTTTTTGGCTGTTCACTTATTACTTCTCCATTTCTGGCGTCATGCATTTGTTCTAAATCCTCTATACACCCACCATATGATGTACTAGTTTTAAAGGCGCCCCCCCCCCCACCCCACCCCCCCACCCCCCCCCCTTCCCG